ACTTTTCGTTTATTCTAATATTTTATTCATAATTTAAAACAATTGTAAACAACCACACTAGAAGAAAGACTGAATTATCTTTCTAATCTCTCAATGGAAAATAATATTACAAAATCTTGGTCATGTTAAGAAGTCATCAAAAAGTATGTAAAAAAGAATTTTAGGCTAGTTCAGTTAATAATAAAGATAATACTGTGATTTTTTTTCCTGTTTTTTAATGTGTGGCATTTGTCAGCTGTGTGATTAATGGTTCTAAAAAACATTCAATTCTGTATTCACAATTCTGCATTTTTTTCTTAAATTGCATAAAATTCAAACGGTATAAACTTTAGGCTCACAAAGCCTGGAAACGTCTGGGTATACTATCAATTCAACGTGGAGTGAACAACTAGTCTATGAAAATCCAAATCTAGAGTTCTTAGTGTCACTCCTGGAACAACTGAGACTTAGTCCGGGGAGAGGAGTGGAAGCGATACGGACGCCCAGGCACAGAAGAACCAGAACAAACTCTCCTCTGTCCGGGGGCATGGAGTTGACGCACGTAAAGGCCACAGTGCGTTTCAGTCTTCTAAGAGCCGTGGGAAATCGAGAGCAAGCTTCAAGCAGGGGAGGAAGTACTTAGGATGAGGAGGCAAGTGTGTGAGCAGGGAGACCACTTAGCAGGGGGTAAACGGTGATACCTTGCATCAGGGTGATGGTTCTTCAGGACTCCCACCGCTTTGTGTAGAATCATCCTGAGTGCTTCTGGGCATCCGAAGTGTGCAAGGAATGACAGGTTCCTTGGCTTCCCCAGCAATCCCTGCTCAGTCGGTTGACTCCCGAGTCTGCAGCCAAGTGCTATAAACCCCCCGGTGTTGGGTGGCGGGGGGGACTTCTTGCATCCTCTCGGCTTTCCGACTAATCATTTAAATGGGAAACCGAAGCCTACTCAGGTAAAAAGATACGTGAACTCCAGGTCAGGATCACAGTCCTGCTCTAAATATATGACATTCTTTCCCCTGCAGGCGGCAAGGGTGAGGGGGGCTGGGTAAAAACAAATTATTTTCATTCAGTCACTGTTTCCTAGCAACCAAAAAAAAAAAAAAAAAAAAGCATGTGCTTTCCTGATGTCTGTGAGCACCAGCCCAAGCCCATGATGTTCGGTGCTCCAGCACGCCTCCAGAAGCAGGGAGAGAACAAAAGCTCCGGAATCAGTCTCTGGTTGGTGAGAGATTCTGAAAGGGGGATTTGTTAAGAGCTGGGCACCTAATAGAACACCATCTGAGAGTCCTGTATCATAGATGTAGGGGAGTAGACAGGGGATCTGCATGGAGTGTACAGATATTCAGGGCAGGATGTTCTTACAGAGCAAGGCTGTGACTTCTGGGGAGTTGGTTTCTATGAAAGAGCTAATGCCTAAGACAACTGACCTCTTTCCATTAGCTCCTTTGTGTGTATTTCCAGCCAGTCTTGTTTTTTGTTAAAGCTCTCTACTATAGATGGAAAAGAAGAGTGACTAGCTGAATTCAAATTTAAACTGAATAGTCTTTGCAAATGGCCCCCCTCCAACCAGGCGGAGCTCCTTCATGCCTGTAAGTCACTGAACTCCACAGCTAGAAGGGACCTCTCCAATCATTCGATGATTGTTTTACAGAAGAGGAAACACACAACCACAGAGAGACAAATTCACTTATCCAAGGTGACACGGCTAGCAGATAGGTTTACTGGGTCTTTGGACCTCCTGGGGGTGGGACATGCTCATATTTTTAAGATTTCCACATTTGTATATTATACCACATTGAATGGTGGTCCGGGAGGGGGTCTAAGAGGAAACTGTCACAGCGGCCAAGAGACGCATATTTTATCCTTTGTAAGTCTGAAAATCAAAGGGTTGCCTTGTAATTACAAACAAGAACAGGTTAAAACAAATGCTAAGTCTTTTGCTTTTTTTTTTTTTTTTCACCACCAGCATCCCCTTTAATAGAATGTGGAAGGTTGCGTGGCGGGGAAGGGGGGGTTGTGAAATATGACCATTTACAACCACAAAAAACCTCTGTACATGTCTAGCGCCTGGCAGAGGGGAGGGCAGGCAGGGCAGCGGCGGGCGGGGCCAGCCCTATTTGTAGAGGATGTCGTAGTGTCCAGGCCGATAGAGGAGGTACACCTTGGGCTCGGAGCCCTCGGGAAAGATGTGCGGGTTGGTGGTGCCGCCCTCGCCGCGGTTCATGTACTCCACGTGGATGGAGACGCTGAGGGCCTGGGCCAGCGGGATGATGTGAATGTGGTCGCTCTCCTTGCACATGGGCTCCACCTCCTGCTGACAGAACTCCTTGACCGTCGGCCCCCCTCGATGAAGTGCTCGAAGAACTTGCTCTCCCGCTGCAGGTAGCCTGAGGTGAGCAGCCGCAGGTACACCACCGGGTAGTCCGAGGTGCTCTGGTCGTTGAAGGAGGCCAGCAGGGCGGCTACGGAGGTCTGCTTCTCCACCTGCTCGATCAGGTCCATGAACATGTTGTGGAAATCCTCGATTGTGAACTCGGTGAAGCCCTGGGACACCAGGTCCTCTTTGCTCTTGGCTGACACGGCCTTAAACCGCTGCAATTCCTTGCTGTTGTCCAGCAGCGCTTCCAAGTGCGAGAATCCGAAAGCTCGGTAGAAGCAGTTTCCGTCGGGCCTGGTCTTGCGGATGTAAGAGTACTTTTTGTGGAGGTCCTTGATCTTCTGTTGATAGATGTTGTCATCCTCAGCATACTCCTTGTACAGGACCGAAAACTCCAGCCGCTCCGAGACCAGGGGGTTCTGCACAGCAATCTCTTGCTGAATTCGGTCTTGCTGAGCCATGATGGCTTCATCATAAGCAAGACAGTTAACACCTTCGGAGTCGCTGCCGAGCGGCTCCTGCTTCTGCTGCTGAGGCTCCTCCGCCGCCATCTTTAAACAGCACCGCCAAGTCTTTTGCCTTTTAAAAAGACATCAAAGCAGGGCGCCTGGGTGGCTCAGTTGGTTAAGTGACTGCCTTCGGCTCAGGTCATGATCCTGGAGTCTCGGGATGGAGTCCCACATCGGGCTCCCTGCTCAGCGGGGAGTCTGCTTCTCCCTCTGACCCTCCTGCCTCTCATGCTCTCTCTCTCTCTCATTCTCTCTAAAAAATAAAATCTTAAAAAAAAAAAAAGCATCAAAGCTAAGGGAGCCCACCCACCCCCTTGTCAAGGAATTGAGATAAGACAAATGTTCTACCAACAAATGCTTTTCTAACTTAGTGAAGTAGAAGAATCACAATGCTAGCCTTTATGAAGTTTCGAGTGCTAGGTTGTTGTTGATGACGTTAGCCAGGCTCATCATTTTTTAGACAATACCCAGAACTGGGGTGCAGAAGAGCCAAGAGGCTTGGCCACAGCCCCACCAGTCAGTCGGTGGCGCAGTGGACACCACATCCCAGCATCTGGCCTCCCCAGGCCAGTGCTTTTCCTTCTAGGCTACGAGGTCCTCTGTCTGGCTTGTAGTATTGTCTCCCGATGGACTCTTCCATAGAGAGCTATATTACTATGTGGTTCATTCATTTCCTATGGAATGCTCTTACTTTGCCTCCCCCTTTCATCTTCATCTTTTCCACATCCCATCCAAGACTGAAGCAGACGTAGTGGCAGCAAGAATGGTCCAAAATAATGAAACTGGTCTGGTGAAGAAGTCATTTAAATTAATGACATCCTGTTTTCTTTCTGCTTATTGTTGATGAGCTGAATCAAATAAAGCTCAATGTTTATAGGCTGCAATTTTTTTTTTTGAAGTTTCTAAAGCTTTATTTATTCCAACCATATCCATGGTAGTGATTTAAAAACACATGCACAATTTCAAAAGTACAATAGGTAATATAATGAACATCTGTGGATTTATCTTCCCAGAGTCAATAAATGTTAACATTTTTTTTATTTGTGTATTAGGGTTCTCCAGAGAAACAGAAAGTATAGGTATATATGTGTATACATGCACAGAAAAAGATTCAGTTTAAGGAATTGGCTCACGTGATTGAGGCGGCTTGGCTGGTCCAAAATCAGAAGGGATAGGCTGACAGGCTGGAGACTCAGGGTAGGGTTCTCCTGGCAGAATTCCTTCTTGCTTGGGAGAAGTCGATCTTTCTTCAAGCCTTCAACTGATTGGATGAAGCCCAGCCACATAATGGAGGGTAATCTGCTCTACTCAAAGTTCGCTGATTTAAATGTTAATCTCATCCAAAAAAACACCTTCACAGAAACACCTGTCATAATTTTTGACCAAATCTTTGGGCACAGTGGCCTAGCCAGGTTGACACGTAAAATTAACCATCACAATTTGCTTTTGATCTTGTTTAAGAAATAAAACATTACAGACATAGTTGATATCCTACTTATACCTATCGGTGGGCACCCCATTTAAAAGTGATAATTTTGTTTTTATAAACTCCTTTTTGTGATTTCAAACCTTTTTTAATCCCATTACCTAAATTCCAATTTCTGGTTCAATGTGAGGGTAAGAACTGAAGACATGGCCTCATATTTGCCATGGTGACATCTCCTTTCCAGGACCTTCTGGCCATAGGAAGTTGTACATGGGTTCTATAGAAAATCCCATTATGAGCCATTGCACCAAGGTGGATTCACTGGGAATCACTATGTTGAATACACACAGAACTTACATAGTCAGATCACAGCATGTTTGGATGCTTCTGTCCAAATAGTTTCATCTACTCTTCCATGATCCATGACCGTTTTACTTGCCAGTTTATTGCAAGGATAAGTAAATGATGAACGTTCGGAAACTTGGAAAGAATAAGGGATGTCAGACAAACTCAAGGTACAGTGCACTACCCTACCACCCCCCAGCCAGTTTAATTATCCTCTGGAACCTGCTGGATAAGAGGTCTGAGCTCTGCACGCTCCCAGATCCCTTCCAAAGCCTAGGATTCCATGACTGGTATTTGGAGTGATAGCATGCCTAACTCAAATTCTCTCTGATTTGCTGCTGTAGCTTATAGGCTCAGAGAGGCTGGGTCTTCCCCAAGGATATCAGGTACAGTGTAAGCTACAGATACCTGCTCAGCTGGATAAGCCTTTAATCATGGAAAGAAAGCTCCTAAAGAAGGAAATGAAAAAGCTCCTGTAAGTATGATTGAGAATAAATTTTTGTTTATTACACTCGGCCTTTGGTGGGTTTCAGGTCATAGATGGTCCGGATATTGGCAGGAGGTGGAGGTGGGTAAAAATCTGAGGAAGAATCTATTCCTGCACTGTAGGAGAAAGCCAGATGATCTAGTCTCTGCCTCCTGCCTGAGAGGCCTCACATGTGGTGCAAAGCAGGATGCTGACTCTCTTGGGAGGATGTTTCTGCCAGGGTCATGCATATCGTGCCTATCAGAGGCATCCCCATTCTAGAGCCTAACAGCTGAGCCCCCAGCCCAGACTGCCTGTACTGGTCAGGATGTGCCTTTAAAAGGGCCCTGCTGGTAAAAGATAGAGGAAAGATTTCTGCAAAATGTACCCAAGGGCCCAGCATTTCAACTGCAGCTTTTGCCGCTGGTATTGTCAGTCTTACCGACTAAATAATTCGTCTCCTTTCTCTTGACATCTGAACTTAAAAAAAAAATAAAAAAAAAAACAAACCAAATGTCGAGTTTTCCCCTGGAAAAAAATTTTCTCCTGCGGTAGCTTTTCTGTGACTTGGTACTTTTTTAAGAGGTTGGTGAAAATCACAGAGCAGATAAAAAGGGGGGAAAAGGCTATTCTATTTCTTATACATTATAGGCACAACAATAATATCCTTTTGATCAAAGACCTTCTCACAGTCCCCATCAAATGTCCTTTCTCTGCCTACTATGGTAATTACTTTTAAACAAGTCCTTAAGAAATCCTGGAATAAAAAACATATGACTTTACACATATTTACATGTATGTGTTTGGAAGCCAATATAATAAAAAAATTGTTATCAGAAATGTCAATTCCTCCACATAGAATTAGAATTTCAAAACTGATATAAGTATAATTTTATAACCAAAGAATACATTTAGGCTACTTTAAATAGAGTATCTTGGAATTAGAAAGCAAAACTTGAGAATTTTTATCAATTTTAGCTTAATGACTCAGAAGAGCTTTTGGGAACCAGACACAAACTTCCTCCCCCCCGCCCCCTCTGCCCTGGCAGTGGCTTGCCCAAAGTGCATGGTAAAGACCTTGAAAACAGAACCAGCCTTAGGTCCAAGGGTGGATCTGTGCAGATGGACCCTGGGGACCCAGAATCCTTTTTCCTTCATCGGGTCCCTCTTCCTCTTCCTGACTTCCCCCCAGGGGTAGCCCCCTGTCTGTCCTCCTGCCAGGGCCACTAGGAAAGTATTCTACAAGATACACTGAAGTAGAATTCCTGGTTTGTTTTTATGCATAACTCCTCCTCGGGGTATTTGCATTCTAATGGGGGAAAAAAGGCCTTTGGGCAAGAGAATACATCCATACAGAATATCATATAGTTGAAATTTTTCAAACTTTGGACATTCTGAGTTTAACATGGGCAGCAAGGGACTCTTTGTTTTATTTATTTATTTATTTATTTATTTATTTATTTTTAAGATTTTATTTATTTATTTGACAGAGAGAGAGACAGCCAGAGAGGGAACACAAGCAGGGGGAGTGGGAGAGGGAGAAGCAGGCTTCCCCCTGAGCAGGGAGCCAGACTTGGGAGCAGTGAGCTGGATGTGGGGCTCGATCCCAGGATCCTGGGATCATGACCTGAGCTGAAGGCAGACGCTCAACGACTGAGCCACTCAGGGGCCCCACCGAGGGAATCTTTGTTTTAAACAGTGGGTCTCAATCCTTTTGGTTTTGGGAAATCGTTTCTGCGTGTGGGAATGTGTCACGCCCCCCACCCTGCGTTCCTATCAATTCAGTTCCGACTACGTGAATATTTATTTTTAGATAAATGTGATTGAAGTTCTTAGTGGTTAGACGTTTTAAAACCTATACATTGCAGGATTGCTATTTAAATCAAAATGAGTATCAGTCGAGCTACCGGAGGCACCTGTGACTTTGTATTTTGGTGGAGGAGGGAGGGACTGGGAAGAACGCTCTTCTGCAGACGGAGCTCCCCCGTCATTCCCAATGGTTCAATGCTGCTCTCTTGCTTTTAAGGGGAGATTATATTGGCATCAGACTTCGGGAAAATGAATTTGACCCAAAAGGAAGAAGGCAACTCACCTTTCTAGATGATATGGTAAAGAAAGGCATGCCCATGCAAGTCACATTTGTGTTATTTGTGTTCAGGGGTCGGAACGAGGATCTAATGCAGATCATGAGCAAGGCTCAGAATGTCCTGTTCGTCATCTTCTCATCCTAGGACCCTCCACATGGCCTTTTCAAGTCATTACACTGCAAGCAAAAAGAATGAGAAAATAAGTTGTGAGGCTTTTGCTATTTGCTCTTTCTCTCCTAGAAAAGATTAAAAAGCAAATGAGTGAAAGGTTAAATGTGAGATACGTGATGTTAAAATTTTTTTTTGACAAAATGACATGTATTTCTCTAATCTATGTTTTCTTTTGTTTTTTTTTACCATTTGCATTCATGGAGAAAACCACAGAATGAATAATCCTAAAATCTTTCCACATTATTCGTGTTGAACCTCAGATTCATGTTATGTAATGAAAGTTCACTTCACAGAAATTAAGGAAGAAATTATTTAAAGATCTAATTCAAAAGAAATGAGTAAACCCTCAGCTTTTTTATGCTTACCGTTTACTCCTCTTGCACTAAGAAGGAAGAAAGTCTCTCTCCCCGCCCCTCCCCCTCCCTCTGCCTGACCTCCCTGGAGCCCTATAAGCAGTTCAGCCTTGGGGTTCTAAAGTGCTTCCCTGTGCACATGTTAAATGGAGAAATTAAATCGATTAAATAAATGCTTCTCAAGCTTTAATGAGGTGTTAGTGCAAGGCCCTTTTGATTTGGGAGGTTTGGGTGGGGCTGGGAATTTGCATTTGTGATGAGCAAACAGGAGATGCCAAGGCTGCTGGTCCACGCACGAACCTTTGGATTAGGTTTCAACCACTGATCATGGTTTTTTTTGTTGTTGTTCACTTTCTTGTTTGGTTTAGTTGCTGAAAGAGCTAAGTACAGTTGACCTTTGAATAACACGAATTTCAACTGTGTGGGTCCACTTGTATGCGGAATTTTTTTTATAAATACAGTACATTACTGTAAATGTATTTTATCTTATGGTTTTCTTTTTTTTAAATGGTTGGTGTATTATTTCTTTAAGATTTTATTTATTTATTTGACAGAGAGAGAGACAGTGCGAGAGGGAACACAAGCAGGGGGGAGTGGGAGAGGGAGAAGCAGGCTTCCCGCAGAGCAGGGAGCCCCGATGCGGGGCTCGATCCCAGGACCCTGGGATCATGACCTGAGCCGAAGGCAGATGCTTAATGACTGAGCCACCCAGGCGCCCCATCTTACGATTTTCTTAATAACATTTTCTTTTCTCTAGCTTACTTTATTATAAAAATGCAATATATAATATATATAACATATAAAATATGTGTTAATAGACAGTTTATGTTATTGGCAAGGCTTCCAGTGAAGAACAGGCTATTAGTAGTTAAGTTTTGGGGCAGTCAAAAGTTATAAAAGGATTTTAGGGGCGCCTGGGTGGCTCAGTCGTTAAGCGTCTGCCTTCAGCTCAGGTCTTGATCCCAGCGCCCTGGGATCGAGCCCCGCATCTGGCTCTCTGCTCCTCGGGAAGCCTGCTTCTCCCTCTCCCACCCCCCCTGCTTGTGTTCCTGCTCTGGCTCTCTCTCTCTCTCTCTGTCTCTGTCAAATAAATAAATAAAATCTTTAAAAAAAAAAAGTTATAAAAGGATTTTAGACTGCAGGCATTGGTGCTTCTAACCCCTGGGCGTTCAAGGGTCAACTGTACATTGTTTAGACAATGTTAGAAGCTTAGAACCCATCTAAAACCCCCAAGACAAAACCAACATTTCCTTTTCTGGAGGTGGGGATAGAGAGGAGAGAAAAGGAAGATTGTGACAGGGACAAGGTGAATATGCTTAGAAATTACCAGAAAGATGGTCAGTAGCATAGGAATGAACATTCAAATTGGTCCTCAGCTTTTTACTGTATACAGGACTCTTAGCAAGCCACTCAGTTGGAATCTACCTCCAGTCCTTTGCTCACCCTGGCCCCTCCACCCAGGATGTCCCTCTTCACCTATAGAATTCTCCTCGTCCTGTTCTTCAAGCCCCAGTTCCACTGGGACCTCCCCTCAGAAGCCTCCTAATCTCCCCCTGACTCTCCTGTGCTCCTGGGAGTGCATTTCTGATGTTCTGCTCACAGAATTGAAAATCATTCTCTGTGGCCCTCTTCCCCCACCTTCACCCTTTTCTATTTTAAAATTTGAGGAAACTGAGACCCTGAGAACATCAGTTGCTTACCCAAGGATATACCGTGAGTTGTTGGCAATATCTAGATTTGAATCTAGATTCCCTGATTCCTAGTTTCTTTTTTTTTTAAGATTTTATTTATTTATTTATTTGAGAGAGAGAGAGAGAGAGCATGACTGGGGGGAGGGGATAGAGTGAGAGGGAGAAGCAGACTCCCCACTGAGCAGGGAGCCTGACACGGGGCTCGATCCCAGGACCCCGAGATCATGACCTGAGCTGAAGGCAGACGCAGAACCGACTGAGCCACCCAGGTGCCCCCCTGATTCCTAGTTTCTTTCCAAGAATCCATCCTTTCTTTTCCTGTCACCATGAATCAAAAATTTAAAAACAGCCCTAGTGAGAGGAAAACATAATGACTGAAGATCTCTAAATAATCTGTCTGAGCATCAGGTTACTGGACATAGAGGATGGTCCTCACATTGTGGACATGACAAAATAGTAGACTAGGCTTAATAATGCCATTGTCATTGGGTCCATGGGGTGCTCCAGGCAATGTCCAAGCCCCTCCCTTTGCTGTCTGTGCTTCCTGCTTCCAGGCACACTATGACTTGGCCATCAATGTTGCTTTGCAATGGCTGGATCACTCAGAAGACTTAACTTGGCTGGAGTGGGAAAAAGTGTGAGTTGAAATAGTATTTTTTCCTTCTTCTTTTTTAAATGTATGACTATGAGTAGCGATAGAGAAAGCTTCTGTCTGGCATTTTCCACCATGAGGCACTCTGATTTGAAAACGTTGCAGGGTGAGTATCCCTCACCAGCTAGATAACTGAAGAAACCTCACAGTTGTCAACATAGACATGTTTACATACTTTGCATCTCTGTTGATTGGTTTCTGTCAGATGATCTTTCTCACACATAATGTTGTGTCTTAGAAATATAACTGTGCCTTATTGGGCATGTGTCATGATTTCTTAAAATGGTCAATTCTGTGGGTAAAGGCTGCGGTTGTTTTCAAAGGACTATCAAACACAATTTCTGAAGCATTTAACTAGATAGATCCCTGAGCTGGAGCTATTTGAACTACAGCTGTTTGAATCCTTTCCAGGATTATAGGCATGTTCATGTGTGCCAGGCAGACTCACTCGGTAAGAACAAGGAACTAAGGAGACCAGGATTTAATAGCTTCTTCCGGAGGCCAGCTATTTTTTCTGTTCCATTGCCTTAGAACACATACCTTGTCTTGGATAGCTATATCAATTAAGGTTTAGTTGTAATAAGCAGGAAGTCCAGCTTGAACAGACTTAAACACACCCCCAAATGGGAGGGGAGTAAGAATTTATTAACTTTATTTGAAAAGTCCAGGGGTAGGTCTACATTAGGCATGGCTTGACTCAAAACTCAAATCATGTCATCAGGATTTACTTCTAGACTAATTCCTCTGGGTGGACATTCTTCTTCTTCTTTTTTTTTTTTTTTTTTTGAGAGAGAGAGGGCATGTGTGAGCAGGATGAGGGGCAGAGGGAGAGAGAGAGAGAGAATCCCAAGCAGGCTCCACACTCAGCGCAGAGCCCGACGTGGGCCTCGATCTCAGGATCTGATCTCAGGACCCTGAGATCATGACCTGAGCTGAAATCAAGAGTCAGATGCTTAACTGCTTGAGCCACCCAGCGGTGGACATTATTCTTAATTTTAGCCCATTTTATCACAATATTCAGTCCATAGGAGAATAGATTAAGAAAAAAATCACAGAATTGTGTCTCAACTGTGCCTCAGCCCCTGACTTGTCCAGAGGTGGACGGTGAGAGGAATGGAATACTCTGACTAGCTTAGTCCACAGTGTGTTTTCCACCCTTGGAATCCAGGGGTGTTTGTAGCTTCCCTAGAAGCAGATAGGCTTACAGTGGGTAAAGCAGTTCTCCCCAGCAAGAAGGGAGAGCTCTGCCACCAGAAGGGGAAAAGGATACAGGTTGGCAAAACCATAACTGTCACCATAGTGGCCAGTGTTTGAGAGCTGTGAAAACATGCATAGAAGGCAAATTCATCACCACTGTTAGAAGATTCGGAATTCAAAGTATGTACTTGACTGACGGCAGACTAATCACCTCAGTTTTGTAAATAAGTGCATAACACATGGCCATTGGAGATTAATTATGGATTATTATTATTATTATAAGCTTACCAGGTGTCAAAAAGAACAAAAATAAACCTTCCACTGTTATTTATTCATATTCCCCCTTAGGAAAATGCCATTTCATGACAGACCTGTTTATCCAAACCGGAAAGAAAGAGAAGCAATGATTTTATCATCTTATGCTGGAATCCTAATGGTAAGGAAAAGAACACTATTTGCATATATGGAGATTTTATATTTATTATGTGCATTTTTACATTAATGCATATTTATTTTATTTTTCAACCGATCTTTCTGAATGCCTAGGATTTACTAATATTAAATGTTTCAGTTTTAAAGATATAGTAAAAAGTCTTTGACTTCTATATGGTATTGTGAAAACATTTATTTAAAAGGCAAAAAACCAGAATGAAAGACATACATAATTAGATACTGTAGACTCTGATTTATCCATTTATTCAGAAGTTATTTATTTATGGGCGCCTGGGTGGCTCAGTTGGTTAAGCGACTGCCTTCGGCTCAGGTCATGATCCTGGAGTCCCGGGATCAAATCCCGCATCGAGCTCCCTGCTGAGCAGGGAGTCTGCTTCTCCCTCTGACCCTCCCTCCTCTCATGTGCTCTCTCTCTCATTCTCTCTCTCAAATAAATAAATAAAATCTTTTAAAACAAAGTTATTTATTTAGTGCCCATGCTATCCAGGCATGATACTAGACATACTGGAGCTATAATTGCTTTGTTTTGTAATGTAAGAAAAACCATGATATGATGATGCATTTGTTGGTGCTACTGTCTTGTTGTTTTTTTTTTAACAGAACAGTATCCCAATTGAGGAAGTCTTTAAAATGTATGGAGCTGATTCTTCTACCAATTCTGGGGCTACTAAGGTAGGGGTGATCCGACACTATCAAGAAAGGGGATTTTTAGAGAAAATTTATTGTATAAATTTATAATGTATTTTTAACATTTTCAACTGCATGAAACAACAGTTTTTTTTTTTTTATCAAAATGTACAAAACCAGATATAGCCATATCTTACCCGGATAACAAATCTTTGTAAAATGATTTCCTTACGTGAGGGCTGTGTCCGTAATAACAACAAGTATTTTGCGTAAGGCTGAGGAGAGGCAGCAAACACGGCACCAGGCTTATGGTCTAGATTCTGCCTCTGTTTCTGGTGAACAGAATTTCTCACCTACACATTTTGTAATGTAGGTTTGGCAAGTCCAAGCGCCCCTCTTGCATGATGTACTAGAACATTTAGAACTAGGAGAAGATCTGCAAGGTTCAAACTCATGACAAATTCTGTAGTTCGTTGCTACCACTCTTCTCCTTCACATGAGAGTCCTTTAAATCACAGCAGTAGAAGAAGCAACTATCAGAAGTCCGGTGACCTGAGTTCTGACACCACTTCCACGGAGCCTTAGGTCCCTGTCCTTCTTTGAGTTTCCATATACCGATCTAAAAAAAATTTTTTTTTTAATATTCTGAATGATCTTTATAGCCAGTTCAATTTTTGCTATTTATGGACGTAGGCACATTTAGTAAACATTAAATACAAGCTGGTATTTAGAGGTGAACTACCAATCGGTTTACCTTTAGATACCTCTAGAAAAGGGAAGAGACAAGGGGGGTAGTGCAGGAGGGGTGTGCAGGGAGGGAAGAGAGAGAATCCATACCCTCATACCCAGCTTTCTGCTCACACTGTCACTTCCGATGCCCCACCCAGACTTGGCAGGAAGGCCAGGGCAGGGGCAGGGCCATGACCCCAGAAATGCCTGCCCGCCTTGTTCTTTTACCCGTAGACAATACAGCGAACAGTGGAGTCATATAAAATCAAGAGCTCACCAGGTCCAGCTTAAGAGTCAAGCATTTACTAAGAAGTGTTGTAACTTGGAATCCGACTGCCCCATCACCTTAATCCCTATGTAAGCTGGCTCTCATCCTAAGACTCAAGGTCCCTTGATCACAGAGGACATCAGCACCTTTCCTCTGATCACCCTAGTTTCAACCTCATTCATTCAATATAATTTATTGTCAAGGGATATAATGGTGAACAAGTCAGACAAGATCATTTTTCTCATGGGTCTTATATCTTATGTTGGAGCTGCCATTCTACCTTGGTTGAGATATAAGCCACCCTAGGCCCAATGCTCCTCAGAGACCAAGCTGTCCTTGGCTTTTAAAGAAAGATCTTTTAGTTCCTTAGATAGCCAAGCAAACCAGAAAGCGTCATTCCTGCTGGTTTTTTCGGTAGCTTTCTCCCTTCCAGACTGCCCTCTTTTCCCCTTTCCCCAACACACCCCCCAGCATATACACATAAATATCTCAGTCCAACACCTTCTGGTTCAGCCATTGCGTTTTTCCACATCTTCTGATGCCTGGGGATGGCTAGGGCAGGCATCAGGCCTTGACTGGTTGGCCTCAACTCACATGGTCAAAGGGCAAATATAGAAAATCACATCCTGGAGGAGATGGCCCTATGAACCCTTCCAGTCTTGGTTGGGTTATCAATCAAGAAGATTTGCAAACATGGTTGTCCAAGTAGCTCAGGCCATGTAACCAAGTAGCCAGGTTCATTTTAAAGGGCCAGACTAGGAAGCCATGCTGTTTAGAGGTGGGCTGGCTAATTTCTATCTATCCATCCCATCTTTCACTTATTCAGTAAAGAGATTTTATTCAGCACATTCTCTGTTTGGTTATGCACAGTCTCTGTCCTCATACTGGTGACCAAAATCAAAAAGCCCAGATGTGCACATGGACTACACAATGACCAGCTCGAAAGGGAAGTAGATAATACGTCATGGAGGGAGCTTTCCTTCAAACACCTGCATTTGTATATTGTTACAGGCTATGACTGTCAGCTCATTTATTGACTTGTAACTGGAAGGCAGCTTGGGGTAAGGGGTTCAGCATGAGGATTCTGAAGCCAGGCTGCCTGGGTTTGAACCAACTTTGAGCAGAGGAATCCTGGACAACTCTTCTAAATTCATCATCCTTGATTTTATCATAAAAACAGAGAATAGAAAATGGGATTGTTGTGGGAAATAAGATGAATTAGTACCAGTAAAGCCCTTAGTGCTTGGCACATGGTAACCTCAAAACAATAACTATAGTTAAGGTTCTGGTACTTGAGATTTGAATATCTGATTTCCTCTATATTCCTGTAAATCAAGGTTTTTCAACATTTCAGTCCAGATAATTCTTTGTTGTGTGTGTAGGGGTGGAGCCGGGGGGCTGTCTTATGCATTGTGGGATGTTTAGCAGCAGCCTCTACCCTTTAGATGCCAATAGCTTCCCCTCAGTGTGACAACCAAAAACGTCTCTCAACTTGGCCAAATGTCCCTTAAGAAGCAAAATCACAGCTGGTTGAGAACTACTGCTCTAAATAATTAAATAGCTCATTAAGCATCCTTATATAATACTAACATAATATAAGCTTTGCCTAGTTTAGACACCGAATTATCACAAAGGGTACAATACCATTTGAGCTACAAATACAGAGTCTAAGGATTACCCACCCTTGTGGACCTCACAAGATCCTCCCAGCTTCAAGAACGCCAGCCCAGGCCTTTCTATTGCGGCTATATGTCAGTTCAATTCAGGGACCTCCTCCACATCTTAAACAAGAAATTAGTAGAACCTCTCAATGGAAATGTCGCATTTCAAAGATTACATTGTAAGAGCTATTTTAAAAGTCTTTCGAGGTTTAACATAATTTCAAAAAAGTTGTTCGAAAGAAGTTATTGACAAAGATTTTTTCTCTAATGGCTGCATATATCTGAATAAACTTTGATTCCTTTAGATAACATGTCTCCTAAGCAACAGCTAAAATCCTCTCCAAGCAAGAGCTTAAAGCCCTGTAGAATACTAATTAGATTGTGGAGAAGTTCTGGCCACTAGAATTGGCTACATGATATAATATGGGTTATGCATAGTCTTGACGGCTTTCTTCAGGAGTATTTGCTGCCACCTGGTGACAGAAAGGCATCACAGGTGCAATGTTGTTCACTGATTCTATTATCCTCAGGTTCTACTCCTGATAGCGAGCTGCTATTTGACGATAGGGAGCCATTTTTCTGCGGAAGACCTTGGGCCTATAGAGAAAAAAAATCAACCTAAGGGTCTCACACAAATGACGGTATTTATGATTAGCTTCAGATAAATATAAAATCGCCTACTCAATTTTAAGCTGAAGAAAAAGGAGCATAAATCTGCCTTCAACATAGCAAGCAAGCAATAGAAATATTCTTCACTTCCATTTGTCAGAGAAAGAGGGAAAAAGGAAAGGGAAGCAGAGAGAGTAAAAATTAGTGTAACCGAGAGAGGAGGAAGACAAGGAGAGGTGGCTGGAGACCATCAGAACCTCTACTCCTTCTCTCTTTCCGCAGCCACACCCCAAAGTCTGAGGGGCCATCATTTAACTCCATCCTGAGTCCAAAACAGACTCTTCAGAGGCAGACAGATCGGGGTTCCGTCCCAGCTCTGCTACTTCTTAGCTGTGTGGCCTTGGATGAGTTACTTAATTTCTCTGATTCCCAATTTCCCTATGTGTAAATATGCATGATTACACTTCCAAACTATACTGGGTCCTTCTGAGCATTCAGTGAGACCACACATATCAGGTGCATGATGCTGGCGTGGGGTGGGGAGCCTTCAACATTAAGTGTTATTATTTCCAAACCCACCCCCGCTCCTGTTTCCCATCCACAGGAGTCCACCGACAGCAGCCTGGTCTCTCTGCAGCCGGCCCATCTTCCCACCTCACACCCTTCTGCAGCCCCAGCCTCTAGGCACTTACACAATAATCTGCCGAGTGTTTTCTCTTCTTGGAGGATGCTGATCCAGCCTGAAGTGTACAGATGTGAAAAAGCATTTTCATGATAAGGAGAGGGACCTATCAGGTTTAAACAAAAGCTCAATATTGGCAGATCTTCATGAAGGGAGATGGAAAACCATGCTTTCGATATCCATTATGTCCAAATGAATACTTATGGTTTATGTTTAAAGTATAAAACCCAAGCAAACAACAAATCCACCAAAGGGATGAAATGGAACAGTATCAACAGTCTGGGAGCTCTCCGTGCATCCTCTCCAGCCCCTACCCTTCTTGTTGCTCCACATTTTTACTATCTGGAATCATGGGTTTATAATTTTCCTGTCTTTCTTTCTAGTTTTACCACATACGCATGTCTCACCAATATATTGTTTAGTTTTGCATGTTCTTTGAACTTGACAGAAGTAATATAAAAAGCAGTCTTTATAAGTGAAGCAAATGTTTTATTCCATGGCTTTCTTTTGTCGTTCAACACTATGGTGCACAAATTCATCCCTGTGGTTACACATAGTTTATTTTCACTGCACATAGCATTCCGCTGTAGGAGTAGGCCACAATTTCTTTATATATTCTTCCGTTTTAGACATTTGGGTGATTTCTATTATATGTTTCTTTATGTCCAGTAAAAGAGTTTCTCTGTGGCCTATGGGATGTGCATCTCCAACTCTGCGTAAAGCCAAACTGTTTTCCAAAATGGTCATACCAATGTATACTTCCACCTGCAATGAGCTTATCTGGCTGTTACCAACACTTGCTATTTTCAGGCTTCTCAAGTTTGTCAGTCTGTTAGGTGGCTGTGATCTTCACATTCCTCTGATTACTAATGAACAACTATTTTTACGTTCTTCTTTTGTGAAGTGCCTGCTAAAAATCTTCTGTCCATTTTTTTTTTTTTTTTGGTTGGGTCATTTTTCTTTCTTCTTCTTGTTTTTTTAAAATTTACACAGAGACTCAATTTTTAGAAAAGCTGCTATAGGATATAATCAGTCAAGTCCTAGATTTTCCAGTACTCTTCCTATTTGAGATTTGCCTTCTCTCTTTACAAATATTAAAATGTTTAGAAAACATGATGTTGCACCATCCCAAACACATTTGAAAAACTTCTTGGACAGTACAAGCTGTCTTTCTGGACCATGTGCCCTGCTTTTACTTTGGAAAGTATGATATTCATGAGCATATGTTCAATTGCTTCGACATCTAGAATCAGAAATTCTCTACCTTCTGGCTCAGTGATACCAAATGACATTTTAATAAGTTACTGCTCAGGCTGAAAGGCAGATGAAGATTATTGGCTATACTCTTCATCCCTTGGGGCGTCTGGGTGGCTCCATCAGTTAGGCATCTGCTTTTAGCTCAGGTCATGATCCCAGGGTCCTGGCTCCCTGCTCAGTGGAGAGTCTGCTTCTCCCTCTCCCTCTGCCCCTCTCCTCACTCATGCGTGCTCTCTGCCTCTCAAATAAAAAAAGGAATCTATACTCTTCATCCCTTGCTGATGTATCCAGGTCGTTTCTTGTGCAAGTTCCTATATGACATCCCCCATCTTCTCTCTCTCTTCCCACCTCCAGTTAGAAGAAATTTTTGTTGAATGGCTTTGGACATAATTGAGCACTTAATAAGAATGTGAATTAAGAAATAACAATTGTAATAATACTTTTATATTGACACAATGATGATATTAGTAAATAGCTTTAAAGTAAAAAAAGAATGTATGATCAACTCTAGGTTTAGGATTTGATTTTCATCCTACTTTGAGAATAATTTCTCATATAAGCCACACAGGAAGCCATAGGAACTTCTTGCATGAGCCATCAGATTATCAGGACTCATAGAATATTTGAACTGGAAGTGACCTTTAAAATCATCAGGTTCTATCTTCCCCAGGGGATAAGGAACTAGAGCATCTGTAAATATAAAGCTTGAATCTCTCTCAGTGAGAAAGCAGGAAATGATTGATCTTTTAGAGGGGTATTAATTACTTCAGGGCTCCTGGCTCTGATTAGTTATTAGTTATTTGATTAGTTATTTCCAAGCAGGATCTTGTAAAGGAAAGGGTGGCCAAGTTGTTGCCATGGGTTATTCTACACAATAGAGATGATGATGATTATGACAAATATAAATAATAATTATTATTATCAAAAAAAGAATAATTATTATTATCATTAGTTTTAAAACCAATATATTGTACTATGTGCCAGGCACTATTCTAAGTACTTTACATATGCTAACTTTAATTCCTACCACAACCCTATAAGGTCATTACCAGTATTATTATTATCACATGAAGAAACAGGCACAGAGGAGTTAGGTGACATGCCCAAGGTCACACATCTTGTAGATAGATGGTGCAGCCTGCACTCACATACTGCCTGTTTGACCCTAAAGTGTATGCTGTTAACCACTATTGCTTGGCTAGAATGCTAGCCGTTCAACTAGTCAATGACACCTGAGGGCCTCCTATGTACTAGGCACTCTCTAAGGCACTGTAGAGAAAAGGTTAAATGCGCTAACTGGGCTCCCTGTTTCCACACTCCAACCCGTTCTCCACACGGAAGCCAAAGCAATTTTTTTAAAACCGAAGTCAGACCTCGTCACACTAGAGCTTAAAAATATTGCAATGGCTTCCACTGAGTCCTGGAATAACGTACAGCTCCATACCGTGGCCCATAAGGACCCAGATTATCTGGCACCTGCCTGCCTCCTTCCCAGCCCCATCTATAATTTCCCCCTTTCTCCCTGTGCTCTAGCCACCCTGGCTTCCTTTCTGTGTCTGGAAACACAGGTTATTCCAAGAAGACCTTCTCGTTCTGGAACGAGCCTGGAACACTCCAGCTCGTCCCCTAAATGGCAGCCGCTCAGTCTAGAAAGCTCAGCTGAAGAAACACTGCTTCTTTCTAAAGGCTTTCTCTGGCCCTCTGCAGTGGTGGCTGTCCAGTCGCTTGCTAGTACATCATCTTGGTTTGTTTATTAAACTCATCACAGTGGATGATTTATTGTTTGCGTTTCCTCACTTGGCTCCAGCAGGGCAGGGGGCCTTGTCTGTCTTAGTGACCACAGCTCCTGACACAGGGCCTGGCCCATAGTAGGTGCTCACTGAGAACTTGTTGAAGGAAGGAAGGAATGAAGAGATAGTCTTAACCTTGAAGAAGTTTCCAGTGCAGCAAACAGTGGGTTATAACTAACTACAACACACTGGGGTTGCTCTATGTGGTGCATGCTTTGAGTTTCCAGACGAGTGAGTCAGTAATTCTGCCTCACGGTAAGGTTGGGGCGCGGGGTGCCAGGGGGGGTGGGAAGACACGGGGCAGATGTCTCAGAAAAGGTGATATGTGAGCTACATCTCAAAGGAAAAGTAGGAGCCTCTAGGCGGAAAAGGAGCAAATGGTTATCCCAGGTAAAAGGCAACAATGTGCAGAGCATCAGTGTGTGAAAGTGCATCCAGGGCAAAGGGAACCAAGAGTGGGAGCAAAAGGCAGAGTACGAACGTGCATGCCGTGTGAAACGTGAGGCTCCCCAGCAGGTGCGTGGTGCTAAGGACTATGGGTTGGTTCAACAGACCAAGTGCTACACCTAGCAGGTGTTAACAGCCACACCTGCAGCTGTTAAAAAGAGGACTGTTTTCCTTTCAGGTACCCCGAGCTCCACCTCTCCGCCTCTCCCTGCATCCCTTTGCCATGTTAACAGCACCCAAAGCAGCAGAATACGCCCACAAACAGAGTAAGCCTCTTTCCTTCCACCTGCTTAGGGGAAATTTAAGTAAACCTAAGAGTTAAACTCACAAAATAAGGCCAAAGTAGTTACGGTAATAAGATTTCTCTGTCCAGTTGAATAAAGAGGAAACAAACCAGAAGGATTCATGACTTAATTTCCCTTCATTATAGGAATCAGGGAAGTCTTACTTCTCAGACCCTTTAGTGACAGGAGCAAGGCTTTCTAGAAGGGAAGGATCTAAACCTGTGGGTGGACTCATTTAAAAAAAAAAAGGTTTTCATACAGTTACGGTTACCACATGTGTCTCTAGGTGTCAAGTTAAGAAGGGGACCAACAAATAAAAATGTCACCAGCAGCTCTGCAAGGGAAGCAAATGCTACAGCGTGGAAATCATCAAAAAATGTATCTTTGGACACCCAGCTAAAGAACAAAGTAGGTCAAAAAATATAAATTGGACCAAACGGATCCCAAGGGTTTGGGGAGTACTGTACTGATATTGTGGTTAAAAGTCCAACCTTTGGAGTTAGATGCTGTGGATCTGAATCTAAATGAAGCCACTACGGGGGCTCCTGGGTGGCTCCGTCGGTTAAGCATCTGCCTTCGGCTCAGGTCATGATCTCAGGGTCGTGGGATTCAGCCCCGCATCGGGCTCCCTGTCTCTGCGGGGAACCTGATTCTCCCTCTTCTCCCTGCTCCTGGCCTCTCTCTGTCGTTATCTCTGTCTGTCTCTCAAATAAATAAATAGATAGATATAGATAGATAGATAGATAGATAGATAGATAGATAGATGATAGATAGATAGATAGATAGACAGATAGATAGATAGATAAAATTTAAATGAAGCTACTACGTACCGGCTGTGTTGACTTCAGGCAGGCTACGTAACCTCTCTGTGCCTCAGTTTTCGCCTCTACAAAGTGAGAAAAATAAGGGTATCTCCTCTCCAGGTTGTCGGGATAAATAACTGGGATTGTGCATTTTAAGAGATTAGATGTGTGCTTGGTGCAGAGTAAACCCTAAATAAATACGGACCATGATATTTGGGAAATACTATTCACCAGTTAATCAGCTGTTATTCTTTGATTCAACTAAGTGTGTTGAGGAGAGTTATATGAATGTCTGTGTCCTAAAGTTTTCTCTTCTCGGTCCCTTTCTCACTAATGAAATTTTATCTTTGCCTGCTTTGCATCTCTGCTGCTCCCGCCCTGTCCATCTGGTTCCTGGGACATTTATGCTGCAGAATTCAGAGAATGGTTGGAGATGCACAGGGCTGGAGACAAAGGAGAAAGGTGGGAGAGTTCTTGGCCCTTCCAGCCCTCGGCTCTCTACTGTAACGCGCAAAGTGAAAAGGAAATTTAAAAAGTCATCAGGAGACCAAGTTAGTGAACATAATAAAAGCTGAGAGGGGAGAGAATCAGATAAGTGGTACAGCTGGTGGCTGGGATATTTTAGGACTTTGTTGAATGAGAGACTGTGGACCAGCTGCAGGGTTGTAAGGTAGGAAAGGGAAATTGGGAATTTCGAAACTTGGTACACTGGGTTATGAACTGCGTTTGCTTTAAGAAACACAAGGGAAAATTAAACACAAGTGAAAATTAAAATTTCTTATTATCTAGTTTGGTTGCTGTACTGTGCATCTTTTAATGTGAATCTCTGAATAGACTGGACCACATAAGGCCCAGGATTCATTCAGGTTTTAGAGGCAAACAATCGACTGGTGAGAAATATAACCTCATCATAGCAAATGCTTTAGGAACAACCTGAATTCTTTGGTCACATTAGGGTTTTAATAAGTGTTATTCTAGTAACATAACAACACCACTATTGGGAAATCTTTACTATATTGAGTTTTCTTTTAAAGATATTTGCTATAGTGAGATTTGAAGGCATAACTTTTCTAGAAACGTATCTGTTACTGAAGAACTGTTTGAAGTAAGATGAGGCGTTGTTGTTTTTTTTTTAATATGAGTTTGGATATAGCAAGTTCTAAATAGTAAAACAGAACAACAGGAGAAAAAAGTAACTCCAGAAATAACACACAGGCGTGCGCGCGCACACACACACACACACACTGATATCTAGACTTTAAACTTAATCATGAAAAAAAATACATCTCTGAAACAGAGGTTCTTAGACCCCCTGAGGCTCATCTATGCATCCGATGTGCTGAAAATCCAGCTCTCAAGATGACTCATTGGTATGTTTGTTTTGAAAATATTATTTCATTTCCTGTATATTTCCTTCCATAACCATTGAAGATTGTTGGCTTCTTGATGGAAACAGATCTTTTATTTCCTTATTATTTCCCACATGTATATAAAGTGCTTTGCAAGCCGTGGCTATTCAATAATTATTGTTGATAAGTGAATTGGCAATAACTACATGGTCCTGAGTGTTCTCAAAACACTGTGCTCTGTCTTAACTGATTGAGAAGTTCCTTTCTAGGGACCAGCCATTTCTGTAGCCTAATTAACGCCTATAAGTCTAGGATGTCCAAACAATAAGTGCCTATTTTGCAGTAGGGATAGGTCTTGAGATAAATCCTTTCCATAAAGTCCTCTTCTTGAAAATCAAACAGCACAAAACACATCTATGATTTTTGTTCATTCTTTATTATTTGTGTACTTTAACATCTTTGCCAACTTCTGAGTAATGTACTTTTTAAATTAGCTTAAAACATTATCATAGTAATACATGCTTATGGCAAAAATTTCAAACAATAGAGAAAATATAAACTGAAAAACAAAAGAATTCCCCCTTCCCCACAGCTCTGTCATATTCCTCAGAAATAACCACTGTTAATATTTCTTGTGCTATTCAAATCTTTGCTGTACATGTACATATAAATATACATACATGTGTCCTACTGATTTGTTAGAAATTAATGAAAAGTCTTTTTGTTAAATGTATGGAAAAGGCACGCCTGGGTGGTTCAGTTGGTTAACCGTCCAACTCTTGGTTTCAGCTCAGGTCATGGTCTTATGGGTCATGAGATGGAGCCCCACGTCAGGCTGCATGCTCAGTGGGGAGCCTGCTTGAAGAGTCTCTTCCTCTGTCCCTCCCCCCATTTGCACACTCACACTTGCTCTTTCTCTAAAATAAATAAATCTTCTATTTTATTTTTATCTTTTTGAAGATTTTATTTATTTATTTATTAGAGAGAGAGAGAGCACAAGGACGAGCAGAGGGAGGGGCAGAGGCAGAAGGAGAGGGAGAACCCGACTCCCCACTGAGCAGGGAGCCCGATGTGGGGCTCCACTCAGGACCCTGGGATCATGACCTGAGCCGAAGGCAGATGCTTAACCAACTGAACCACCCAGGTGCCCCTAAATACATCTTTTTTTTTTAAAGTTTGGAAAATAGGGAGCCTGGGTGGCTCAGTCAGTTAAGCATCTGCCTTCGGCTCAGGTCATGATCCCAGGCTCCTGGGATCGAGCCCTGTATCCAGCTCCCTGCTCGGCAGGAAGCCTGCTTCTCCCTCTCCCTCTGCCCCTGCTTGTGTTCCCTCTCTCGCTGTGTCTCTCTCTGTCGAATAAATAAATAAAATCTTAAAAAAAAAAGGTTGGAAAATAGACTTTCACAGTTTATTGCTTGAAAAGGTTTTTCATTTTATATATTTCAGCTTCTGAGTCTTTTCCTTACCCATATGTTTTATGGATATTGTATCATGTCTTTTAGCTGGTAAACAACTTTTTTCAACCTCAAGATAAAACAATGCTTCTTTCAGAATTTTGTATTTATTTCCAGCCACAGAACTGCTTCATAAAGTGAGGGAAAGGAAGAATTTTCTTTTAAATAATCCAGGTATTTGGTGAAATAGTTTTAAAGATTTCTTTTATACTATATTGATATTAGCAATCCATTTGTTAGTCAAAATGAATATGAGCAACACCATATCCTAGGAAAGTGTAGATACTGAGCACATTATCAGGAAATGGATTCGGAATGGACAGGACCATGCCAAAGAACTAGAAAACAGATACCCTGGTGATAAAGAGTGTGGATTCTGGAGTCACACAGCCCAGAGTTGACTCTTGGGTCTCCCATTTAATAACTGGCATGAATTGTTAAGTGAATCTCTCTGCTTCTGTTTCTCATCTATAAAGAAAAGATTCTAACAGTACCTATCTCATAAGGTTGTTACAAGGACTAAATGAGCTCACATATATGGAACGGCTTAGAAAAGTGCCAGGACCATTGCTAGCAATAACACAGGTGCTCCCATGACTACTACTGCCCCTGACAAAGTCACAGTATCGTGAACCGGAGCAAGACACAGAGACAGGGCAATTTGAGGGATTCTGGTTTCCAGTTCCACCGGCAAGGAATTTAGAGACTGCCACTCATCCTAGTAAGTAAAAAGCTGAACAGGCTGAGAAAACAACTCCTCTTGGATCTGTAAGACAGGGGAGGTCAAAGGGCAAACCTCTGCCTCCAAGTTTGGAGAGACAGATAGGCGGATATAGGGAGTTAGGGTTTACCAGAGCAAAGACTCACAAGCAGAAGCTGCCAGAAATACAGTGCTGGAGTAGGAAACCCTTAACTGCAATTGGCAAATCACAGGAACCTCAGTGCAGACAACTCGGAGGGTTAAAAACTCCAGGGGGACCCAGTCATAGCAGGGTACCCACAATTTTGTGAGATTTACCTGCAGGAGCTCTGCCAGGTTCTCACAGTAAATCCTGGAGAAAATTCTGTTCATGTTTCCAGCAGTGGGGGGGGGGGGGGGGGGGGGAGGGTAGGGGGGGAGGAGGGAGGTGGGGGAGGAATCATTTTTATTTATTTTTTTAAAGATTTTATTTATTTATTTGACAGAGAGAGAGAGTACAAGCAGGGGAGCGTCAGGGAGAGGGAGAAAGCAGGCTCCCCCTGAGCAGAGAGCCTGACCTGGGGCTCCATCCCAGGACCGCAGGATCATGACCTGAGCTGAAAGCAGACGCTTAACCCACTGAGCCACCCAGGCGCCCCGAGGAATCATCTTTAAATACAACAGAGCACTCTGTTCTTAACAAGGCCTGCCCTGAGTGGCAACTAGTTAACTGTAGCTTACCTGTTGACGTTTTATCAGAGCCCAACTGACCTAGAAGAAGGGAAATACCCACTCCAGTCAGCTCTAGTCATCTGGTCCCAGCTAGCGAAGAGGAAAAACTGAGAAACACTTGCAAAGTTCAAAGTCCAGAGGCACAGGCTCACCAAAGACTGAGATCTAATCATAGGACTACAGAACCCTTCCTCCTCACCCCCCAACACCACATCACTAAAGACCTATTTAGAGAGTTCGTTTTACCCAGGACATCATGTCTAGCTATCAAGAAAGAATTACAAGATATACTAAAATGCATAAAACATAAAAATTTAAAGAAACAGAGCAAGCATTACAAACAGACATGGCAGGGATGTTGGCACTATCAGACCAGGAATTTGAAACAAATCTGACTTAATATGCTAAGAGCTCTAATGGATAAAGTAGACAGCACACAAGAATAGTTGGGCAATATAAGCAGAGGGAAGGACATCCGAGCTGTTAACCACAGAATCCAGGTGGTAGGCACATGTATCTTCATTGTACAAATATTTCACCTTTTCTGTATGAAAATTTTCACATAATAAAATTATGAAGGAGAAAAGAAAAAAGAAATTGTCAGAGTGGATCAAAACACAAGACCTGATTATACGTTGTCTATAAGACACCCATTTCAAATATAAAGACACATATAGATTAAAGGTAAATGGATAGACAAAATAAATCACACCAGCCCTAATCAAAAACAAGAAAAAGCTATATTAATTTCTGACAGAGCTGACTTCAAAGCAAAGAAAATTATCAGGGATAAATAAAGACATTTGGTAAAAGGGTCAATTCTCCAAGAAGACATACAAACCTTAACATGTGTGCACCGGACAACAGAGCATCAAACTATATGAGGTAAAAATGGATAGGGCTGCAAGGAGAAATCGCTGGCTCTGCTATCATACCTGGAGACTTCAGCACCCCTCCATCAGAAATGGGGGGAGGGTGATTCAAGTTTAAATTCAAAGCAATATATAACATTTTAAAATAGTATGGCATAGGGGCGCCTGGGTGGCTCAGTCGTTAAGCGTCTGCGTTCGGCTCAGGTCATGATCCCAGGGTCCTGGGATCAAGCCCCACATCGGGCTCCCTGCTCCGCGGGAAGCCTGCTTCTCCCTCTCCCACCTCCCCTGCTTGTGTTCCCTCTCTCGCTATATCTCTGTCTGTCAATAAATAAATAAAATCTTTAAAAAAATAAATAAATAAAATAAAATAAAATAATATGGCATAAGCACAATACACAACTGCTCAGTGGCAAAAAGAAATGATTTGCTTTGGATATAATTAGTCAAAAGAAGTATAAATTTTATTATTTGTGTTTCAATTTGGAAATAATTTTGAGTTTAGAGGAAAGTTGCAAGAATAGCACAAAGAGCCCTCATACACCTTTTACTCAGAATCGCCAACTGTCAGCATTTTTTTCTATTAACATCACCATTTTTTCTGCCTCTGTCTCTCTCTTTGTCTTTCTCTCTGTATATAGATACAGAATTTTTTTCTGAGCCATCCAAGTTACACCTGCCCTATCATTATACCCCTATATACTTCAGTGTGTATTTCCTGAGAACAAAGTCATTCCTTAAATAACCTCAGTATAACGATCAACTTCAGAAAATCTAACATTGATACTTTTATTTGATCTACCATCTATATACCAATTTTTTCAAGTGAGCCAATAATGTCCTTTGCTAAATATTTTTTCTTTCTGTACAGGATTCAGTGTGGGGTCATATACCGCATTTAGTTGACAAATATAACTCAATTTCCAAACCTCTCAGAACAATTCCATGGAAGTTCTTTTGTACCTACATGTATTATAATCCATCTTTGTCAGTAACTTAGTATTTGATATTAGAACTCAACCCCCTATAGACTGAAAGCTAATGTCTGTGTGCATGTTAAATTGATGGGTTTGATTCCAAAATCATTTTTTTTTTTAATCCTGCAGGTCACTTAGAAACTTGGAATTGTACCATGGAAGTTCATAATAAAGTCTCTGGAAGAGGAAAAGAAACATCATCTTAACACTGCAACTCTTGCCAGCACATTTTTCCAGTTAGCTTGTGGTGCAAAGTTAATCGAAGTGTTACTTTGGATGTTGGGCTTTCTTCTCTTAGACTCCTATTGTGTGGCTATATTGTGTTTTTGTTTTTCAAGTGTATATCCTATGCTACGTCATTGTAACTGGAAGACTGCTAGTTGGAGAATTTTGAGAATATGTTGTATTTTATGTGAGAGCAGACAGGCTTTGCAGCACATTTCCCAAATGTTTAGCACTGAATCTTGCAGAGTGGTGGAGTCTGAGGCAGTTTCCCAAAGTTTCGATCCAAAATAAAATGAATCTGTCATTCATTGCCCTTACTACGTTCTCACATGGAAACATTTAAAATCATTTCAATAAAGCATTAAAGGAAACAGAAGCACAGGCTTTCTTTCAGTAATTATAATGACTATTAGGAAAAAGAAAATGTGCTAGTCTTTCAGCACTTTCCAAAATGCTGATTAGGCAGGTGGTTTGGCTTGTAAATACCCATACTAACAATTTGAACAAAGGAATGTGAGTGCAGATTACACCTCTCTTAAGGTTTTGCTGGGCCACCTGTCTGTGGAACAGATGTCTTCAACACGTGCAAAAACAAGTGTTTGGTTTGTTGGCTTTCACTGGAAATGGTGGTGCACCCCGATGTGGTGTTGTGGTTGGGGACACCGATGACGCCTTTTCCACATGGGTTTGGTTATGACCATAACTGAGGTTTACCAGGAGGCCTGCAGCACTAGGAGGGAGACAGGGGATGTATCAGTGACTTGTGACTTGACCCTGGGTACGCTGTCTAGCATCAAAGGACTTTGCCCGGCTTCCTGCGGTCTAGCTCTGCTGGTTGGGAGGGAACATGTTTTTCTTTGTGGTTACTGCCGCCTGTCCTTCTGACAGGTGCACATCTGCTTCATATGCTGCCCAAGGCCTTTCACAAATGGCATCATGGACACTTAGCGCTAGCTGTGGCTGGATACCCTTTCAGGGCCCTCCATGGGTCACAAGCCATGAAGGTGTTTGACTCCATCTTTCTACATATGCACGGATGACAAAGATGAGCTGGGGCCGGAAGGCCTCCTACAGCCCTGCATAGCTGAGGGGTGCTTCGCCATCAGTAGGGCAGTCGCAGTGGAGAAAGCTCCTCAGGCCTTCACTTGGGTTCTGTGAAACAGTGACGTCCAGGAAGGGAAAACTCAGGCAAATCATGATGCTGGTTTTGAAAACAAAAAGCAACCCTAGAAGACGGTTTTTGGGAGAGAGTTGGGAGGATCCTGTATGTGTTCCTGCTCTCAGACTGTCTCACAGAGTCTCGGGGAATCGCTTTATTTTTAGTCCAAGGAGAAGCGTTTAATCTCAAAACAAAATTGACTTATTTTAAATATTTGCTGCTTTTCACCAGCAGCTCCAAGTTATACATTTACAAATTGAATTTATTTTTCATCTCCTGAAAGTACTATATATTTATGGTCGAAAACTAAGGCAATCAAAAACAACAGAAAGGAGAAATAAAAACATAAAACAAGGACCTGTAATCTTGCCATTTATGGATAACCATGACTGACATTTTGGTGTATACATCCACCGTTCTAATCTCTTTTTTCCCCCTACATAAACATATACAAAATACTTTTAGCAAAACCATATCATACTGAGGAGGTAATTTAGAAAATGTAATTGTCTTTCAATTAGAGGATTTTTTTGTCACCCTTAGCACTTCAGGTCCTTCTGGAACTCATAGGATTGTCACGAGTCTCCCCAGACGGAACCACCAACCCCATCTCAGCAGTTTCCATAGGCAAATGCACAAAGTGCTGGGCATGTAATGTATTTCTAGAGAGCTGCATAGGATGAGAAGTGCGCCCTTTGTCTCCAAGGTCATAATGGCTCTGCTGACCTCAATTCCTTTCACTGGAGCTAGTGAGGAGAACTCGAAAATGCCAGACAGAATGAGAGCCCCCTGCCCCATGATCCCAAATGAAAAAACGAGAGAGAACATAGAAATCCCCTCACGCACTACCCCCAGGCCCCTTTTGTGTAGTTCTTGCCAACACAGCAGCCCTCCTGCTATATATTCCGGCTGCCACTCTCGTCCCCATCACACTGGACGCTGATCATCCGCTGACAACAGCCATGGGGAAGGTGAGCCACCCGAGGGGCCGTGCCGCGTCTGTTGAGTGTCTCCTGTGTTTGGAGGTCCTTCCCCGCTGACGTCTGGCTGTTCCCTTGTTCCCACCACCCCCACCCCCCGCCCCTGCAGATCACCTTCTACGAGGACCGCGGCTTCCAGGGCCGCCACTACGAGTGCAGCAGTGACCACCCGAACCTGCAGCCCTACTTCAGCCGCTGCAACTCCATCCGCGTGGACAGCGGCTGCTGGATGCTGTATGAGCAGCCCAACTACGCCGGCCACCAGTACTTCCTGCGGCGCGGGGACTACCCCGACTACCAGCAGTGGCTGGGCTTCAGCGACTCGGTCCGCTCCTGCCGGGCCATTCCTTACGTGAGTCTTGCCTCCACCCAGAATGATGCGAAAGCATCACTGATCCGTGGTTGTAAATTCCTGTTGGTCAAAGTCAGTTTGTTTCAATTCAGGACTAGTGTTCACAGTAAGGACAGCAATGCCTGATTCTCAAGCATTAAAAAAAAAAAAAATTATGAGTAGGCTAATGAATCACTGTAACCTCCTTTTTTCCCGCCCTTATTTAAGGACAAAATTATTTTTAGGGCATAAGAAATCATAATATAGCCTCTGAAGTTACATTTGATAGCATCTAGCTGATTCTTACTTTCTAAATAAAAATCACCATGTTCAGAAAAGAAAAAAAAAGCCTATCTAGGTCATTATTTTTTAATGATGGGAACACTTAACAGACCTCGGGAGAACAAGGTAGGTGTAATGTGTTCTGTCTGTCTTAGCAGTTGTTTTCCACACAGTCTCTATGACATAAGGATCTAGAAACTAGAACAATATGTCTCAGCTCCTTAGGGGCTCCCTGGTTCCCAGGAGTCATTATCAACTAGTTTCTTACGAGGGTCAGAGACAGATCATTAATTAGGATTTCATGGGACATGGTCCTCATAAAAGTGCTGCTTAATGTTTTTTAAACATGTTGAGTTTGTGTTTCTGCTTGCCGGTGACACCAAATTATGTGGTATGACAGGCAGATTCAAGAAGTGAAACCAAAAGCAGGCTAGAGAAATTTGCAGATGCAAAAAGACATACAAATAACACAGGAATTTCTTTGAGGCAAGAACCTCAAATGGTTCAAGTGATTTGGCAAAATGTCAGACACGTGGACTCAGAGTAAATACGAATTATTGTAAATTATGCTTGAAGAGTGACTTAAAAACAAGTTTGTTAGGACTCTGTTATGTGTAGCCATAACGAAAAAGAGAGTTAAATTCCTCTCTGCAGACTCACTAAATACAGTCGTGACCAATGGCTTCCTACAAAGGAATCCCTTTGGTTCCCTTTATTTCAATGTTTGTTTCTTCCACAAAATCAGGTCAGCTTTATTTTTAATATTCTTCCTAATTTGTTAGACCAACAATGTGGGGAGAAGACACGCACACGGCAGGATGGTTTGAAAACCATGCTTCATGAAGCTGCAGGCTGACTAAGTCGCTTTTACTGAGATCAGAGATGCCCACAGTTGATTTTTCTTCTTTTGTTTATTGTCACAACAGACCGGCTCCCACAGGATAAGGCTGTACGAGAGAGATGACTACGGGGGCCTGGTGTCTGAGCTCACCGAGGACTGCTCCTGCATCCACGATCGCTTCCGGCTCAATGAGCTCCGCTCCCTCCACGTGCTGGAGGGCTGCTGGGTCCTCTACGAGCTGCCCAGCTACCGAGGGCGACAGTATCTACTGAGACCGGGGGACTACAGGCGCTACCACGACTGGGGGGCCACGGATGCCAGAGTGGGCTCTCTGAGACGGGTCATCGATTTATACTAGGCTGTGTGTTTCTTGTTATGATCCACATCAAAATGCAATAAATATACAAATTGTGTTCCTGGCACTAAGTGACTCTCGTTTATCTTTAAATAATCACTGAATTCTAATAAATGGTGACCCCTGGCAACTTGCCTGACCCTGAAAATCAGGTGTTTTGAATGTCTACTTACTTCCTGTTGGTCAGGCAACAGTATTTCTGAAGCCGCCACTCATGTCATGGGAAGGAGGGAGAAGCACCACGTCTCCTTCTACAACCTGCAATCTGAGAAAGAGAGGAAAGGCAAATGGAAGGAAAAACTATTAGACCCTACATAAAGTAGAAAACATAGAATGAGTTGAGGCTGGGATACCAAAGACAAGGGATTGCTGGAAAGATTAGGGCAGCTGAAGTCTCAGATTAGTCAAGAAAAGCTGAGGGAAGAGAGGGGTTTTAAGCAGAATTCCCAAGGTAGAGAAGGTCAAACGTGCTTGATGAATTCAGCAGGTAAGAAAAGTGTTAAAGTAAGCGTTAAAGGGCCTGAGTTGTTATCTTACTTCTGCTAATTACTAGTAATGTGTCCAACTTGGACTAGTTTTTAGGGACTTTCCCAGTTTTAGCACCAAAAGTCCTACACCCTGGAAAGCCCCTCAGTCTCAGGTAAACCGGGATGGTTAGTTCCCCTTCTTACTGGGTTTATATCTTTAATCAAGTCATTTCTTATCCTCTCTGTGCCTAAATTACGTTATTGAAGACTATAGGTGGATGAGAAATTCCTGCTTCACTAAATCCCCAGATAATTATAATGAAATATAAGGAAAGATTGTGAACACATTTTGTTATTTTTAAATTATTACACAAATATAAATGTAGAAAATTTATGTATTACCAGTGTCTGCTCAAATTCAAGAGTACAATACAGTCATCTCTATTTTGGACTCCAATATGAATTTCTATCAAGACTCAATTACAGGGCACCTGGGTGGCTCAGTCGGTTAAGCGTCTGCCTTTGGCTCAGGTCATGATCCCAGGGTCCTGGGATGGAGTCCCTCATCGGGCTCCCTGCTCAGCGGGGAGTTTGTTTCTCCCTCTCCCAATCCTCTTCCGCCCTGCTCATCTCATGCTCTCTCGCTCTCACTCTCGCTCTCTCAAATAAATGAATAAAATCTTTAAAAAAAAAAAAAGACTCAATTACACACATGATGTAATGAGCACTGGGTACTATATAAGACTGATGAATCACTGAACTCTACCTCTGAAACTAACAATACACTATATGTTAATTGATTGAATTTAAATTTTAAAAAAAGCCTCGATTACACAGGGTAAAGTATTAATATTTACTCTGCTGCATACCTCTGGAGTTTCTTTCCACTATAGTAAAGCTGCTCTTCCAGAATGCTAATTCTCTTTCCAAATTTATATAAGCAAAAATAGTGCCCT